TACTAATAAATATTATTATTGGATCTCTATATGAGATTATTAGGTTTACTTTACCTATAAACACGGTTGTTTTCTGTTAAACAAACACTTGTCTAAGGCGCTGGGTGATATTCTTTAGAGATCCACTAAATGGGGCTATTTATTGGTAGTTTTGATACTAGAAAAATGATAACTGATTAAATATAAAAGTGTAAATATTGATAAAAAAATTAGATCAAACTGATTATAAAATAAGGGAGTTCACAGCTTGAGTACAAAGATGCAGGCTAAGTGGTTGCTTTAATCAAACACATGTATGACATGGCATCAAAGCAGACATACATGACAGTTGTTCATTATATCAAACACCAGGGGGGGAAAAACTAATATCAACAGATTCTATGAAAAAAGGAAAAGGAAATTCTATGCAGAATTTGTTACATTAAGATGGTTTAAAAATCAATATAAAAGGTTATTAAATAAAAAATCTATTTAATAACATGTAATCCTCTTCTTTGAATGTCTCATAGTTGTTTAAACATAGCTTCAAATGACAAAAAATCCATTCAGGTATTCCAAGCATTCATGTTTTGTTTTGTTTGGGTTTTTTTTAATTGAGAGAAAAGCAGTTTGACGAGCTTCCTCAGATTCCTTCCTGTGTTTCTTCACTCTTTGGAGAACACCACATATATGCCACTGCAACAGCGAGCCACAGATGTGCAGAATGGAGCGATGAAGATATTAACCACACTCATCCACAGTGACCTCACACAGGGCAGGCAGGTATGAAACACCTGAATACAGGGCATCACACACCTATGGCAAGAGACAGTGATGTTACTCTTTTTTTTTCTTTATGTAACAGATTTCATAAATAACTGCCATAACAGCTTACCAGATGTGCAAACAGGCCAGGAGGGCAAAGAGACAGCCACAGAGACAGGAGAGGGGAACCGCACACAGCGCTGTCAGGCAGCGGTAACCCCACAGCCGCATGGACTCAAAGGTGATGCCGCTGTACACCCACACACGGTCGTAGCTGTGTGTGGACACGGGCTCTGCCAAAACATCGCTAAACTCTATCTGGTGTCACAGTGAACAGGAAGTTAGTGCCATTTTATTGCTGGTCATGTTTATTTCACTTATAACCCCCCATATGTGCAAACATATCCATCCTTGGGATAAGAAGTGAGCGTTGCACTCACCTTCAAGTGTTTGTTGATGCCACAGGGATCCCTGATCTCAACCTGAGTGAGGGACAGGGTGGAGGAGAACTGTGGAGGAGGAGGTGGAGACGGGTGGAGCTTCTTCACATCATCATCATCATCATCTTCATCTTCATCTTCATCATCAATATTACACTCCACCAAATACTCGTCTGACATCATATTGACTGCAAAGCAGATCACACGGTTTGTGTTTGTGTGCAATTTCTCATTCACATCTCCAAATCAGTGCAGAACCAAACAGCACAGTACCTAGTCTTTTCTATGAACAGTTTCGTTTTTTAGCATATCTGTGGGTGTCTAAATGGTTTAGTTAACAGTAGACAAATTACAGCAGTGGTTCTCAACCTTTTTGATTGCAAGGCCCCCATTGTCAAAGAAGATATTTGAAGGCCCCCCAAGATATTTCTGATACTTCGGCTATAATGACAAAGCTGCACATTTTCAAACTTTTTATTCACAGAAACTTGGAGTAGCGATATAAATAAAATGAAATAAAATAATTTAAATAATTCAATCTTACATTCCCAGTAACTGAGTATTCTTCATGGTTTACACTTTTTTATTAATTTACATGACTTTTCTAGTTTGTAAATACAGTGTGTTTTTAATTACTTTTCACAAATATCAATTTGTAGCAATACAATAATATATGATATGAGAGGGCTTAATATAATTTCATAATAAAAAATTAAAATGGCTTAAGAATTTTTTTAATTTCACCACTTTTCCAGGTTTTAAAATGCCCTTAAACAGTATGTCCAGGTCGCCTGAGATTGTGAGAACCTGGTTCTTAAATAAAAAATGGCAGTTGTTAAGGGAGCAAATTTAAATAAATAAAAAAAGATTTCTGCACACATTTACTGTTTTTGCTTATTTTTAACCTTGTTTTGTCTTATTTTAAATTGTTTTGAACTATCTTTTTTGGTAAGCCCCTTTGGAAGTGTGCTGAGACCCTCTAGTGGGTCCTGGTCCCCTGGTTGACAAACTACAAGTAACATGTGACAAATACAACTGGAATCAGATGAGACACACCCTGGCAACTCTTGCTCACTATTTTTACTCATATGCCATACTGTAATACAACCGAGAAGTGATGAGATGAACTCATCAGTACTGTATGGATGTAAATGTCAACATCTGATATTTATTCAATTTTTGAAAATAAAAAAATCACAAAAATATTTAGTAATTAAAACAATGCACAGAAAGAACTGAAAGACGTTGCATTTCTTTTTTATAGTAAATAAATATGATGACTATTATTATTACCAAATATTTAATAAGAGTGTTTGTTATTCAATTTAGGAATACCCATGAATGCAAAATATTTACCAATTATTAATATTTATCACTTACCCGATTCAATAGTCCTGGTCCAAAAATAAACAGTTATCCTGGTGCAGGTCAAAAAAGTAACTTCAGCAATAGCAACTATTTTGATCTATCTGCCAGACACTGCCAATCTCCAATCTCGTCGTCCACATCTAACAGATGAATATGTGGCCTGTATCAAACTATAACTGTGCAGCAGGAGGCATTGAGGGGACTTACAGTATGGAGATGTGACCTCACTCTTTCTGCCTTGTGTTTTTTGCCATAGTCTGGTGTGTGGAAGTGTCTGTACCCAGTGAAGAATTAGCAGGCTGAGCGTAGAGTTATTTTTGGGAGAGGAATGGAGAGGGCACCACTGATCAGGTTACTGGACAGGCACACACAGCCTGTTTCCTCACATATAATCTCATATTTAAAACAATGACTAATTTATACTTTTTATGAAACACGCAGTGGGCTTAAAAATGTATTTGTATATTTTCAGGGATGTTTATCACTTACCCCAGTTTTATTACATACAGTATCTTCTCATATTCAGGGTTCCCACACATTTTCCATTTCAAAATTCCATACTTTTTCAGACTCAAATTTCCAAACCTCTTTTTCAGACCATATTTAACATAAATGGCTCATAAAGCATGATTTTCAGCTTTATATTTGGTATATAGTACAGTCATCTGTAAATATTTTTATTTTCTCAGGGGTTTATTTATTGATTTTGTCGAAGTGACAACATAGAGCGCCTAAAAAAAGCTTTTTTTGTGCTTTCAAGAAACTATTGACATACGCATGGATTTTTTGTGTGCTTACGCATTACAATTTCTAGTTTATATATACTATTACCTATTTCCATTGTGCGTCACTGCCATCTTACTATATGAAGAAAATGAGAGCATAGATGCACATGAATTAATAGAGATATATTTGCTCAAAGTTTGGCTTTTCTTAGGGTAGTACCTCTGATATCAAGGCCTAATGTCCAATTTAATGCATCCTCTGTGGTGGCGGAGAAACAACACGAAATGGGCTGATGGCGCAATACGGCTGTGTGCATTGTCCTATTTGCCAAGATCAAGGGTCTATAAAAAAAGCTGGTACCGTAAAAAAAAAAGTGTAAAAAATGTGTCTCTCTTTAGGGCAGTATATCATATTTCAAGGCCTTAGTCTGCTTTAACGCATACTCTTGTGATGGCCAAAAAACGACAATAGTGGCTCAGTGTGCATTGTCCTATATGCTACCTTTAATGGTTTCACATGTGCACACGAAAGTCTGTATATTTTTTCTTTTTGCAAAGATCCTTTTAGAGGATCTGTAATACATTGCTAAGAATATTGTGAGAAGAATTCATTCAGTCGTGTTTGACAATCACTTAAAGAATCACTAAACAGCTGCCATGAAAACACACTTCTTGTATGATACATTTATTTTCATTAGATTATTAATTTTCTATTATAGAAAACTAAATAGGGTCTGGAAAATGCTAATATTTTTCCATACTTTTTAAAAAATCTAATTCAAAATAGTGAGAAATACAATAATATTATATAAATAATAATAAAATATCACTGGTTATACCAACAAAATACAAAGAAACTGGCATTCCAAGAGTAATTATTATGTATGATGAAACATCTGGCAAGCCGACAGTATTTTAGAATCAATATAATTTATTTTGATCATATTGTAATCCACACATCAACGGTGACATGATCTACCAGAGACACACACTGCAAAAGGGAATGCATGGGTGACGGGGTGGAAGTCAAGGGAGACCAGTGACCGGGGGCACTAATGTGCAGCTAAAAGGAAGTGAGTGCCATTGTACTTCCTGCGACTACATGTGCTGTTTCACAGATTGATTTTTTTCCAGTCAGTTCTCTGCTTCTCTGTTGGAGTTTCTGAGCTGCTCGGAGTGGCACTAGTCTTCACAGTTGTCTTTCCAATTTTCATATGTGTGAGAGAGAATATAGAGCTGTAGGGGTAAAATCGGCTACAGAGCTGTGCTTAATTTGGCCGCTCCACCTGTTCCCACGCGAGACCATCCGCGTCAGTGTGTTTGCATGCATGTGTGCTGGTTCCTTCATGATAGAATGCTTTTTAAAGAATAAATCAATTGTAATGCAAATAATTGTAAAAATAGTAATGCAATTGAATGCAAAAAAAATAAATAGCAAATAATCCCTAAATGAGTCTTCTAAAAAAGGAAAACTGGAGCATTTTAATATTCATCATGTCGTACCTTGAACTATTTGAGCTATGCATAATATCAAAAAGCAATTAAAAAAGCATTAAAAAACAAAAACAAAATATAATCTCTCTAATAATGAAGCTCTGAGAGTAACAGTGGCCTTCATAAATCTCTTGCTACATTCAGGGTGACACGTCTATGTCTAAAATAACAATGTGGACTCTGTCTGTCATGGACTTCATTCCCACAGTTCACTTGTCCATTCGAATCTATGTGCTTTGAGGGACTCAGCATCATCAGCAGATACTTATGTTTCTCCAAATGAACACAGTCTACACTACAGTCAAAAACATCAGACACATTGGACATCACTGCGATGAATGATTAGATAGGAAGTGGGAGATTCTTGAATGATGGCCAGATTAACAGTTTTCAAAGCTAAAACACAAATACAACCAATAATAGGATCAATGATGGTCTTACGCAAAACAAAACCATATTTAGCCACTGTCAACTGAAATCTTTTTGAATACACTTTAGTTAATAAGGCATAAAGAGAACCATATCTTGTATGTCTGGAAAAATATATTAATATCTGTGATGAGTTTGCCGTTCCCCCAACACCCATACTCAGATTCACTAGTCTATCATCCCTTCATCTCCCTCAGTCCTGTTGGTCTTGGGGTTTGAAGAGACCTCTGCTGCGCAGGCCGAAGCCTCCCTTCTTCACCGGAGGTCGAGTGGCAGCGGAGGGCACCGAAGGGACAGATGCGGGAGGAGAGGAAGGAGGAGGGTTCGAACCCGAGGCTTCCAGAGGAGGATGACGGGACAACAGCTCCTTAAACACGGAATTCATCTGACGACTGACCTCCTGTGAGAAAGAGAGAATCGTTCATCAATACATAAGGATATCCATTTGGGTCTGACGAGTGCTAACCCTTCAAATTCATGGATTTAAACTTATTTTAGTAATTAAACTTGTAAACTTCAATTTATTGTCCAAGATAATATTCCCCCATGTAGGCATGTGGGTAAGATATTTCTGGTACTTCTACTATAATGCTTGTTTTTTTATTTACACAGTGGAAATATATTAAAATAATTAAAACAATTTTTTTTATATAATAATAATAATAATTAAATTCTGTAATTCCAGATGTTTCAAAAACTGAATTTTACAGTAGTTCATGGGGGATTTTTAAAGTTTTTTTTATTATCATTTACAACAAATAGCAATTTCTACCCGATGAAATAGTTTATAGTTTGAAAACAATGTATATTCATTATTGAAATTTCCATGACTTTTCCAGGTCTAGAAATCACATTCTTACCCAAGTTTTGCCAAGACTTTGGGAACCCTGCTTCTTAAAAAAAAGACAGTTGTTGAGGTATACAAAATAAAATAAAAGAATATGATGTTAGTTTATATCTAGCTTATATTAATGCACATGTTGTCTTATTGTAAATCTTTTTAAGCTATCTTGCTGCCCCCATGGAATTGTGCTGAGGTCCCCTAGTGGGTCCCAGTCTCCTGGTTGACTATGACTTATTTAAATGACTATACTTATTAGTGTAAAAATGTGGCCGAAGAAATAAAAAAGTCCTGAGATTTGAATATGGTTCAGTGGATAATTCGGCTTTCTAAGCCTTCATGCAGAACAATTTAAATTCATTATATAAATTGCCACAACTGTTAAGATTTTAATTACATTTCCATGATTTTCCCAAGCCTGGAAAAAATAATTTTGCAATTTCCTAGTGTATATCCAGATTGTCCATAAGTGTGGAATCCCTAGTGTGTATTCAAATATGGCATGGCCATTTCAGATTTGATGCCAATGATACCGAATGTGTCTTGTAATTGACCGATGTGCTTAATTTTACATATACAAATAAAGTTTGAAAGCTACAAGATTGTCAATGAATAATGATTTCAATTCTGTTCATCATCAGTTCTGTTCATCTCATAAAGCTATCATATGGTGAAAATGAATATAGACCATGAGTCATACAGCCTATTTTTCTGGGGCTTTATGGATATTCTATGGTACTTTTTGTTATTTGTCAAGCTTGATGGTCCTTGCTCAATTGTATGCTTTCACTGTATATGAAAGAGTTCTTCAAGACTCCTCATTCTTAGTAAATGAATACAGAACTTTACTTTTTGAGCAAACTATTCCTTCAATGGAAATATCAGTAAAAGAATCAGACCTTGTCGATATGTACTGTCTGTCTGTCTGCTGGTCCTCCTATTGGCCTCAGAGTGTCTAAAGTGTGTCTGCGCTCCTGATGACTGAAGACAAAGAAAGAAAGACAGACAAAGAAGGGAATGATGAATAAATAAATAAAAAATGTTAAATTGCTTATAACAATATTCACTACAGTTCAAAAGATTGTGGATGTTCTTTAATGAAGTTAATGCTCAAAAAGGCTGCACTTACTTTATTATATGTTTCAGCTATCTGCCTTCTTCAGTGTAACAATTCACTGTTTCTCAGAAACAGAAATTCCTCAAACGGTGAACTGTTACACTGAACAAGGCAGATAGCTGAAACATTTGTGATACAGTTTATCCCCTGCTTTAAACATAACAATACGGCTGTGTGCATTGTCCTATTTGCCAAGATCAAGGGTCTATAAAAAAAGCTGGTACCGTAAAAAAAAAAGTGTAAAAAATGTGTCTCTCTTTAGGGCAGTATATCATATTTCAAGGCCTTAGTCTGCTTTAACGCATACTCTTGTGATGGCCAAAAAACGACAATAGTGGCTCAGTGTGCATTGTCCTATATGCTACCTTTAATGGTTTCACATGTGCACACGAAAGTCTGTATATTTTTTCATAACATTTTTACATTTACATTTATGCATTTAGCAGATGCTTTTATCCAAAGTGACTTACAGTGCAGAGTTTTTAGAGTGCAGACTTTTTTTGTACTTTTTGATTAAAAATACAGTAAAAAAAAAGAAAGAAATTGTGTCAAATATTATTATAAATTAAAATAACTGTTTTCTATTTACTCCAGTCTTCAGTGTCACATGATCCTTCAGAAATCATTCTAATATGCTGATTTATTGCTCAGGAAATATTTATTATTATTGCTAATGTTGAAAACATGTACTTTACAGGTACATTTTTCAGGATTAAAAAAATGAAGATTATTCAGGATTATTTGATGAAGCACAGCATTATTTTAACATTTTTACCTTTCACTGACACTTTTGATCAATGCATCCTTGCTAAATAAAAGTTTTAATTTCTTTACAAATGTTCAGCATAAACACTGTTTTTGTAATCTCCAGATTGCTAATGTTGAAAACATGTACTTTACAGGTACATTTTTCAGGATTAAAAAATGAAGATTATTCAGGATTATTTGATGAAGCACAGCATTATTTTAACATTTTTACCTTTCACTGACACTTTTGATCAATGCATCCTTGCTAAATAAAAGTTTTAATTTCTTTACAAATGTTCAGCATAAACACTGTTTTTGTAATCTCCATAATAATTCTGTAAACTCATTGAGGTTTAATGGTGAAAATACACTCTTACACATTTCTCATACACATGACTTTCAGCAGCTGGTACCATCAAAACAACTTCTGTTCTCCTACCCTGAGAATTGCCGTGCAACTGCAGTTGTCTGAGGAGGAAGGATCAATCGTCCCTCGGCCACCTGCAGGATCTTCCGGATGGGGCTTCCACTCCCATTGTTGCCTCCACCTATGCTGCTGCCTCCACTGCCTGTCCTCTGCCGGCCGGGCAACGACGCGCTGTCACTGTTCACTCTCAAACTGGGGAATGACAGCAGACACAGTACAGTTAAGATCTCACTGGGCCTGTGATGAACATGCAAGGGTGCATTATTATCAGCGGACTGACTGAATGTACCGGGTGCTGTGTTCAGTCAGCTGCTGTTCCTCTGATAGGTTTCCTGTGCTGCCTCCTCTGCTGTCCTCCTTCTTCCCTCGTTCTTTACGCTCTGCCCTGAGAATGAGAAGACAACAAGATGAGGTCACCAAAGCTAGTGGTAAGGTTATGGCTACCAAGATGTTGTTTAAGAAGCGATTATGTGTTTCCTTATTCACATGTCTCTGCAATAGATATCTAGACTTAAGTTAATGTAGACACCATATTTGATTTGACACAAATAAAAACAGGGATGTGAGGAACGGAATTACAGTCTGTTCAATGGGTCTCATTCATAAAACACAAGCATAATTTCTGTGTAAATCAGTCATAAATCCATTTTTACATAAATGGTTGCAGTGAATTGAATGTGACAATTTAGGTAAGAGTGGATTTAAAAATTGTTGTTCTTCTTGCGTTTCATGAATGGGGCCCATTATGTTTGCATACCTGGATGTCGACTCTCCTGCTACATGAACATTACATGTAACCTTGGACCTTATTTTCAGCATGAGATATTGAATGGACTGTGTTTCTGTCAAATTAAATATGGCATCTATTCTGAATAAAAGTCTATTCATGACAGAACTAAATTAATTATTGTGCTTCTTATCAATCATGTTTTAACATGGTAATATAAAATCAGAATTAGTGCACTAATCATCACAGCTGCAAATTATACTCATTAGCTCTGTTGCAAAACCTAATGAGTTGCCCACAGAGGTAAGATTCATTACTGAGAATATTGATTAAAAATAATTCAATGCAATAGATTATTTTACCCAGTGTTTGTGTGTGCTATGTATTTCTATACTTACACTACTGTTCAAAAGCTTATGGTTGGTAAGATTTTTTAATGTTTTTGAAATATTTATTTTATCAAAAATACAGTAAAAATTTAATATTGTGAAATATTATTTAACATAACAGTTTTCTTTATTTTAACATATTTAAAAATGTAATTTATTCCTGTGATGGCAAAGCTTTTACACTTACTGACCCCAAGTTTTTGAATGGTAGTGTATTGGGAAACTGTGCAGTTAGCTTAGCAACCTGTTAACATCAAACTCTCAGTCAAGGAGCACTATTTGATTGGAGCAAAGAGTTGATGTCTATACATTTACATTTATGCATTTAGCAGATGCTTTTATCCAAAGCGACTTACAGTGCATTCAGGCTATACATTTTGTTTTTACCAGTATGTGTGTTCCCTGGGAATCGAACCCACAACCTTTTGCGCTGCTAACGCAATGCTCTACCACTGAGCCACAAGAACACTATACAGTAATAACAATGTAATAGTTGTAGGAACCTCATGTAGTTAAAGTTTATGGTGAAGTTTATGTTTATGGTCTCACCCTTCTACCACACTGATGTACTTATGGGGGATCAAGCCTTTCACTCCTCCTGCTTCCCCTCTCCACCAATCAGCAGAGGCCTTGCTGTGTAGTAGGAGGTGGTCACCCTGCTTGAATGACAGCTCGGCTGTAGAACGTGCAACATAATCAAACATGGCCACAGCCTCCCACTCTGCACATACAATGCATACATACAAACACACAATACAAAGCATGGCAACAAAAACGCCACATATGCCAAAATCCAACATGGAATGGCCACAATGCAACAACAGGACACAAAAACCCAACATGGAACACACATGGACACATTTAGATAAGCAATTAATTAAAACTTCAAAGGTTTAAAAAAATGAATTGTCATGATGTATGTGTTTTCTTACCATCTTCGCTGGGAAGATGTTCAGCGTCTCCCTCGCCCTCCTCTGTGATGGGCTCACTGGAAAAAAAGGTTGGAGTTACATAAAAGGAAAATAACCCACTAGACTAATTCTGGCAAGAACTGCTCAAAAGAATAGTTAGCTGGAAAGAAAATGCTGAAAACTCACCTTCAGGCCATCCAAGATGTAGATGACTTTATTCATCAAAACAGATTTGGAGAAATTTAGCATTACATCACTTGCTCACCAATGGATCCTCTGCAGTGAATGGGTGCCGTCAGAATGAGAGTCCAAACAGCTGATAAAAATATCACAATAATCCACAAGTAATCCACATGACTCCAGTCCATCAATTAACGTCTTGTGAAGTGAAACGTTGCATATTGTAAGAAACAAATCCATCATTAAGGCGTTTTAACTTCAAACTGTTGCTTCTGGCTAAAATACTAGTCCTCTATTCATAACATTGCCTTCTCCAGTGAAAAAGTCATCCAAAACAGTTCTAAACAAATATATCGGTTGATTTTGATGTGAGATGACAACAGAGGATGGCCTTTTTCACTGGAGGAAGCATTATTATTGATTATGAATTTGTGTTTTGGCCAGAAGCAATGGTTTAAAGTTAAACACATTAATGATGGACTTATTACAAACACGCAGCTTTTCACTTCAAAAGATGTTAATTCATATGGACTGGAGGTGTGTGGATTATTGTGATGTTTTTATCAGCTGTTCGGACTCTCATTCCGACGGCACCCATTCACTGCAGAGGACTGATTGGTGAGTAAGTGATGCTAAATTTCTCAAAATCTGTTCCGATGAAGAAACAAGCAAACTCTTAGATGGCCTGAAGGTGAGTAAGTTTTCAGCAAATTTTCATTTTTGGGTGAACTATTCCTTTAACTATTCTTCAAAAATTAAGATTTTTTTTAGGACACCCAAAAATAAAAGCAAAGGTGTTTGAAACAACATGAGGCAAGGAAATGATGACAGAATTGTAATTTTTGGCTAAACTCTCCCTTTAAGACTCACCAGTACTCCTGCTCTAGAGTCATGCATTTCTCATAGATGGGGCCCGGGAGTTCGGACGGGCCCGGGACAATGTTCTCATGATGGATGATCATGGTCTTAACAAGGTCATTGATCTGAGGTGCCAGTGTCACTTCATCACCACCCATCTCCACCCCTCTGAGCAGACTGGGCCCGAAGCACACGGCCAGGTTATACGGCTGCATCATGTTCTCATCACTGTACTGAGAGACACTGAACAGACACAAACAAAACAGGTTACAGACCGTATCACTGCACACCATAATCAGGTTTGGAATGATTACGAGAGCCTTTAAAAAAAAGATCAGGACTTACTGATGAAGGAAGTCGAAGAGATACCGCATCACTATGATGACGGGTCTGGGGAAGGACGAGACTACTGTCTTTATCTGCGCTACTTTTTCTGTCATGTTTTCCATCTCTGAGAGAGACAGAGTTAATTTAGTCAACACACTGGAATCAAGACTTTCAAAAATAGTAGCTTATTAAATTAACTGTATTAAAGTGATGTACACAACCATTCAGAAGTTTGGTGTCAGTAAGATTTTTTTATGTTTTTGAAAGAGGTCTCTTATGCTCACTATGGCTGCATGTATTTGATCAAAAATACGGTAAAAGACAGAAATACTATGAAATTTATTAACAATTAAAAATAATTTTAATATTTTTCAATTTTCAATTTTAATATATTTCAAAATGTAATTTATTCCTTGTGACGGTAAAGCTGAAATTTCCAGCCTTCAGTGTCACAAAAAAATAGAAATCATTCAAATATGCTGATTTAGTGCTCAAGAAACATTCATTATTATTATTATTATTATTATCAATGTTGAAAACAGCTGTGCTGCTTAATATTTTTAAAGAAACCAAATATTTTTCTAAAGTTTTTAATGAATATAAAGTTCAAAAGAATAACATTTATTTCAAATAGATTTTTAAAATAAAATTCTAAATGTCTTTAATGTCACTTTTGTGTCATTATTGAGTAAAAGTAATCATTAAATTTATTTTAAAAATTCTTGACTACATACATTTGAATGGTATTACCTTGTGACTATTTGGCTAAAATTCATTGCATTATTTGCTTGCAGATGTCACTAGGTTTGATACGTTATCTAATGCAAATTAAATGTCAAAATACTTTTATGGGTGACTGAATGTGCACACAATCACACAGAAGCAGAGAGAACACATGAAAGGCATCTTACGGACACACTCCATGAGCTGGCAAAAGCTCTCCTCAGGGAACAGAGGTTTCTCCAGACCTCTGAAATAGAGCTTCAGAACCCCTGCCACTGAATCAATGTCACTCTCGCTGTCAGTGAGCGGGTCCTCTCCTGTAAACACAAAAAAACAAAAACAGTCAGAGAGAAGAGAAAACAGACAAGAGACTTAAAGAAAGGCATATTTGTAAATAAATACACATAAGATTCATATAATTTTTTTATATTTTATGATAATAACCATTTTAAATTTGGGGGTTGGTAAGATATTTTTGAAAGAAGTCTCCTATACTCACCAAGGCTGCATTTATTAAAAATGCAGTAATAACAGTAATATTGTGAAATATTATTACAATTTAAATGAACTCTTTTCTATTGTAATATATTTAAAATATACTTTATTCCTGTGATGGCAAAGCTGAATTTTCAGAAGCCATTACTCCAGTCTTCAGTGTCACATGATCCTTCAGAAATCATTTTAATATGCTGATTTGCAAATGTACAATACATTATACTTCTTGTTACATTCTTATGTTAATACACGTGTATTCATCAATTTGAACATAACTGTACCTCTTTCAAAGGCATCCCTTATATGATTGACTTCAGTCTGTGATCCTGGAACTCTAAAAATGCCTTCATGATGCAGACCTGTTTAAAAACATCATATTCACATGCACATAACTACTCAGTCCATTACATTCATCCTACCTGCATTAAAGGTGCATGCAGTAAATGTTGTTTTTGACTACAGTCATCATTGTATGTGAATGTACTTCATTTCATGTACATGTTTTAAAAAGTATTATGTTTAATTTCATTTCATTTGTAAAACCTTTTAATGGGGAAAAATAACAGAGTGCAATTATAATAAGGGATTGTCTTGCAATTAGCAGTTTTACCGTGCAGGTTGATGAAGCGAATGCAGCTCTCCACCACCAGGGGGATCTGTTGACCAGAGCTCTGACAGAAAGAGAATGAAGGGAAATCGGAGAAAAAAATTATTATTATGCACATCTGAATAGAACGATAGTTGTATAGAAATAATCAAATCAATCAAATATATATATATATATATATATATATATATATATATATATATATATATATATATATATATATATATATATATA